AGAAGCATAGATAAAAAAGGCAACTGTCAACCAGCTCCACAGGCGGCCCCGTCCAGGAAACACACAGGGGTCCCTATGTCCTCCAGCAGTCTAAGCCTATAGCAGCAGAACTATAGAGATAGCTCAGGATAACCTGAGCCACTCTAACTAGAAGCTTTATCAAAAAGGACAGTTTTAAGCCTAGCCTTAAAAGTAGACAGGGTGTCTGCCTCACGGACTAAAACTGGTAGTTGAAATTAATATTAAAAATGTCAGTAATTTAGAAGTGAGTGGGTTGAAGTGCTGCTCTAATAGTAGAAATGCTGTTTGTCCATCAGTGGATGAATCCAGATCTGCCAGCAGCAACCAGATGAACAAAGGTAAATATGAGGAACTGTAAACATTTAAATCCTGTAGTTTTTCCTTCTGATGAAAGAAATGAAAGTTTATCAGGATCCGTGTCGGTTTAAAGGCTGCAGAGACACTGAGCCATTCATGTAGACAGAGGGTCACCATGGAAACGGAGTCTCCACACCAGTGGTTCTGTTTGCCCCATTAGGCCGGGCTATGTAGAGGGAGGGATCAGGTTACTTCCTGAACTCAGGGAGGCAGTTAGAGGAATCAGCCTCCAGCAGCTTCTGTCACCAAACCTTTGATTCAGTTTTATCTGCTGAAGCTGCTTCACCCTCAGTTTGTTCAGTTTAGACTGCCTGCAGACAGACAGACGGACATTAGACAGAGTAGACTGGATGGCCACTCATTCTGTCACCTGCTGAGAGTCAAAGTTTGCTCTGTTCTCTTACGGTGGTTAAACTCGTCCGTCCTCCATGGCAGCAGCAGTGACAGACGCTCACCTGTGCTTTGATGACACAGCAGGTGTAACTGCTGACATTCCTGCAGCCCGACCAGGATGCAGACCAGGAGCTGCAGTCCTCAGCTGTTCAACCTGTTCGCCAACATGTCTGAGATCAGACGTCTGTTAGTATTTCCTTCATTAGAGACTCATTAAACCATTATTACATCATGAAATGCTCTCCTGCTCCACCTGCTGGAGTCCTGAAGGTGCGGAAGGTTAAATTCAGACTAATTAACCAGCCTTTGTTAATTAAAAAGGATTTTCAGAAGTTATTTTCACTTTTGATGCTGATCAAACAGGCAGTACCGGTTCTACCAGGCGCTCCATCACCTGGGTGGCCATTTCTGCCTCTGAAGGCGTTTAGATGGCAGAACCTACCTCCAGGTTTTACTGTTGTCTAGGAGACCAAAGCCGCCTTTAAACACCCAGCAGGTAAACAAAGGTTTCCATGGAGCAGAGATTATGGAGACACATGGAAGCTGATCAGATTAGGACTACAAGCTTCAGGAGGAGAACTACAAAACCCAAACATCTGCAGAACATCAGCATGAGTCAGAGAACCAGGAGGAAATATTGGCTGTTCGAAAACCTAGGCTCTGTTCGAAAACCTAGGACGCATCCTTAGAAGACCGGATTCGAAGGCTGATTACGTCATAGCGCGGCGCCGAGGTCTGGTCGGATTCCAAGAGTCCTCGTTATGCGGCCTTAAAATGCGTCCTTCTTTTAGCCCGGCTGTAATTAAAGGACAGATTCTAATAGATCTGCAGGGTGGGACTATAAATCTGATAGGATTTTTATCTTTTTATTGCTGTTTTGCACAATATGCTTAACTAAGTATGTTTTGTTGTTGAATATTCAGAGATTTTGGCACATAACGAGGACTCTTGGAATCCGACCAGACCTCGGCGCCGCGCTTTGACGTCATTGGCCTTCGAATCTGTTCTTCTAAGGACGTATCCTAGGTTTTCGAACAGAGCAATTGCTGGGCTTTGACAACCCGAACAGTTAGCAAAGGATTGTGGGTAACTGCACTGCCAGCTCTGTTCAGACAGCTGATCAGGGAGGCTTCAGCTGGAGGGGGCGGCTAGCAGCAGCTAGCAGCGGCTAGCAGGACAGAAGAGACCAAATCTAAAGCTGGGTTTGTAGAAACAGTCGATTTAATTCTGCCGTCGTCCTTTTTTAACTTCGTTTCCTGTTCAGTCTGAATCTCCTCATCAATAAACATCTTTTCTTCTTCTGTCCACCTGCAGAGCGACAGACGGGAGCAGCTGGTTCTGAGAGGAACCCACCTGCAGACGCTCTGCAGGTGGTTCTGAGAGGAACCCACCTGCGGAGCGTCAGCCGCTGGTTCTGAGAGGAACCCACCTGCAGACG